TCCATAGCTGTACACTTGCCCCCAGGCAGCACATATGGTAGCAGCAGCTCAGCAACAGCAACAACAACAGCAACAAGCCGCGCTGGTAGCCGCAAATAAGTCCCGATTAGCGGCTATACTACAACAGGCTACATCTGGTGGGCAACCATTAACCACTGCTCAGATGCAAGGGTAATACAACATTGTGTAATGTTCATATACCTGTAATATCTCTATTAATAGACTTATCGCGAGGGTACAACAACAACAGCAGCAACAACAACAGCAACAGCAGCAGCAGCAACAACAACAACAACAGATACAGCAACAGCAACAGCAGCAGCCGCAGAATGTGGTAGGACCACAGTCCAATAGTCACCTACCAGCTGCTGGGGCTGCTGCCTTGCTCGCTGCCCAACACCAGCGACAACAGGCTATGGCAGCTAAGAAAACGGTACTCTGCTACTAGTGTTGAGTATGCATAGACTACCCTTTAGGGGGGAGCATCACTATTGGAACAACATGCCAGAGCCCAAGCCTCGAGGATGGCTCAGCAACAGGCACAACAGAAGGTGACACAGAGAAAGACAACTCTTCCAATCACACTGATATCAGGTCCTACTACAGCAGCAACAGCAAAGGGCTGCCAGCATAGCTGCTGCGAGAAACCATGAGACTATCCAGGCACAGGTAGGCCCACGTACTGGCTATCACATACTACTAGTATACCACACCTTCAGATGCTCCTACAGACTCTTAGAGGTAAGATACAGCAGTCACACTCAGCGTACACTCAAGCCATCAAGAAGTAGTAATGGCGCTCATCGTCAGTCGATGCTACTCATCGTTGTATACCTTAGGAGAGAACAGGCTAAGGCTCAGATAGATTCGTACGAGGCAGAGGCCAGTAGTCTACACACCAAGGTGGGACTAGTCCACTAGTTCCAGAGTATATTAGTAGTAGAGCAGATAATGGAGGATCCTAGGATGAAACAGGATACTGAGACACGTAATCTATTCCTAAAGCAATGCATGGATCGTATACAGAAGATGAAGGAATATAGGAACCAATACACTGCTCTGATGGTAATACTTAGTGTAAGGTGTCGACAGGATTGCTACATCGTAGGAACAAGCTGAAAAGGAGGCGCAGATGTATCAAAAGCAAGTGGAGCAGATGAGTCAGGAGTTCAAAGCCAAACAAGTTTCATTATTGAGGCTAGTACACGGTCAACAACAACAACAACAACAAGCTGAATCGACGGCAGCAGCAGCAGCAGCAGAGACCCCGAGTCGAGGTATCCATGGGGCTTCAGTATCAGGCTCTATCCTACTCATCTTAGTCTCACCTTCGCCAGCTTCTACTACTACTTCGATACCAGCTAGTGCACCCTCGTCGTCTAGTGTAATATACCTCAGTATCCATCATGGCCCGCCTAAGCTTCGGCCTCTTGTTATCATTGAGATGTGACAATGCTCAGATACCTCGGCCGTCATCAGCACCATCTACAGCTGTGGCACCGCCTCCTACTGCTGCCCAGAAGCTAGCCATGCAACAAGGCTACCAGGTCATAGGGCAAGAGATGGCCTCAGTGGGGGCAGCAATGGCGAGGCCCAAGACCAGAGTTGAGCAACAAGAGAGCATACGTCAGCTCCAACAGGTAAGGGGAGTATGCTTGCTCAAAACCCTATGATCAATAGTCAGGCTCGAGAAGCTGTCTATGTGCTCGAATCCTTCTCGGCATTGCTTCTGTCACATAGTCATATGATAAAACTGAGTTATCGTAATAGGATGGAGGCAGATCGTCTTCACTCCTGGGCCCGTTCAGTACGCGATTTAGTCGAGGTAGTAATGATAGTAACTGTGGGCAGTTGTGTTGTTGTTATTATTGAGTGTGTCAGGGATTGGTGAGTAGTATGAATCAAGAGTACTCTGGCAGAATGGTTACCAACGCAGACCAACTGAGGTTCCTAAGTAGAAGCTCCAAAGGGAGAGGCAACGAGGGGGGTAGTTATGTGGGGGGGAGTGTATTGCCCTCATCACGCCTATCAGTTGGTGACAACGAGAATCCTATATCTATAGATGATGAAAGGTTGGCTCGGCTTAAGAAGGTTCTAACCCAGGTGGGTCGAAACCTGAGATTGTGCCAATAAGAAGACAGGATTATAATACAGGCAGTAGTAGTATACAGTCGGTGTATGAGAAGTTTCATGGAAAGGCCAGTGAGTGCCACTGATAGTGATGGTGGATCTTCATCGGGGAATCCTAACAGTGCCAACGACTGTCGAGACAGTGGTAATAGTGAGAGATGTGTATCTATCATCCACAGACACTCGGACCTTGTAGGTCCATCCCTTTATACAGTATGTTGTGCACTTGGTGCCGCCCTAGGGGTAGCCCCACCAAGCCTTGGGGAGCTTAGCCAGCAATCTAGCACATTATACGAGCTCATATCAGGTTATCCGTATCTCAACTCTACCGTTGTATGTGTTGATGTAGTAGGTTCCGATACGTACATGGCCATGTATCGACCATTCAAGTGTATCACTATGGATGAGCAGTACGTTGGCTTCACTTCACTCACCGAGGAATCCCTGCTTACCTTGCGTCGGTGAGTAATTCATAAATATTATACCGTTGTGCACTCCTAGATTCAGGTTGCTCCGTGACAACGGGAATAAGCGGAAGATAGGGGCATTATACGGTGAAGATTCTAGCACTACTACCACCACTGCGCCGGCAGAAGTGGTAGGAACAGTGGCTGGTAAGGATGGCTTTCCCGTGCTTCAACCGTCTAGTGTGACGTGGTCAGGTGATGGAGTCGTCGATATGGGGTGGTGGAAGCCTACCCGATGTCATACCCGTGCGAGGGCCAAGCGGAGGAGGCGGCGAGATATCCCCGCAGCAACGGAATTGGCAACATCGATATCAGTCGAGTGACAACAACAGCAACACGTGTTCCTCAATATGTGCGGGTTTGTGTTGATAGTCTCCTGCTACTGAATCCATCCTTTCGGTAGAGAAGAGAAACATACTAACACCCTACATTCTCTGGCTGTACCATCGCGATACCTTAGACAAACTCTGCCTTTTTTCCGTACGTAGTAGGTTGTCTATGTACCTTAATCGCGAACCTAGCTGTGTCGGGGACCCGCTTCTCACTTAAGAGAAAGATGATGTTATCACCGAGTAGCTACCTACTAAATCCGTCTTGTGTATCTTCATCAATGAATCGGTTCAACCTCGTGACATGGGCTACTTTACCCACTTCCATCATGCTCAATTCTATCCAAGATACGCTCATTCACTCGTTATGGGGTATGCCGAGGATGGTCGGTTAGCACTTAGAATTGACAATGGATCCCTCACTCAAGACAGAAGACACTTGTAGAAACCCACGTAGGCTGCTACATTCAAAATCATTCAACATTAGAAACACCATCAACTCATTCCCACTGTCGACGCCTGACCATACCGATAATGCTCTACAGTGACTAGTAACAATAGAGTCACCTGTAACCACTATTATCACTCCCTCCTCCTCCTCTGGATCCCTGCCAACTCCTATTGCCACCGCCACGCTGCCTATCGTACGAACCCCCTCTACCACCCTCCTTGTCCCACGATTTATTATTATTCCAACTGCTATTATCAGAGGAATTCTGGAAAAGAGAAAGATAACGATGTGCAGCACATAGACGCTATTACCCTCCATGCAGTATTAGTATTACCTCCCCATCTATCACTATACGAGTGGACCTGTGGGATGATATAACTACTGAACAACACCAATGGTAACGACCTACCTGGCCAAAGTTCACAGCTTGGGCATAGATCTCCTCCTGTGATGGTAAAGGAGGGCCGCGGGAGCTAATGCCGACTTTCTCGACATGACGCCATTCAAAACCTGACGTGATGAGTTCACCATAATCACATCACTACTACTACCAGCAGGTGCACTGTTGTCAACTTCTTGCGAATTAGCCCCCGGGATAGTCTTGACAGCCTCCTCTGAAATGATTACATAATAAACCAGCAGCAAGTGTTGGAGAAACAACACCCATAGCCCCGCCTTGACCCTGGTCTGCTTTATCGAAGTCCTCGAGTGCAGCCTTGAGTTGATGAATTAAGTTATGTCCAGCCAAATTCATATCCTTCTGGCGGACCTCAGCAGCCTGAGCATCTCCATCTACCAATATAAAAGAAGAACAGCAATGAACCATACCTGGATGACACGAGATAGCTGCTCGAACTTCTCCTGGAACTTCCTCTTCTCATCCACAACTTTAGAGAGCGTCATGGCGTAGTCCCTCTCCAGCTCAGCTATCACGTCGGGGTCGGCGAACTTAGCAGCTTCTAGAGATGATGATTGTCCTCAGTTGAGTGCAATCATAATACTGACTTACCCTCTTGTCGCCTCTTCCTCCGCTCTTCCTTGGTCTCCTTGGCCTTCCCATCCTCACTCTCTCCACTCTCAGGAGCAGCGTCCTTGTCGAGAGTCCTCTCCCAGGAACCACCCCATCGACGGTTATTATCCTCCTTCGTACCATTACTATCATCAACCTTATCGTTACTCTCACCATCCTCATCATTATTGTTATTATCATCATCCTTGGATTTATTCACTTCAACCCACTTGCCATTCTCATCCTTCTTCCACTCATCCTTCTTCCACTTACCCTTCCAATTGCCTTTCCATCCACCACCACCACGACGATCACCATTGTCCCACTTGGACCAGTTTCGTCCCCTCTTCCAGCCAGCCTCCTCATCATCACCATGCCACTTGTCGTCAGCCACATCGTCATCCCCAGTAGCAGCAGCCGAGTTGTCCAAGGGTATGGCCGGTAGGATATCCGAGGCATCGGCTTTATCATCAATGGCCGTCGTCGCCTCTGCCGCCTCATCGAGGACCTCCTTCGATAAGTCATGATCTGGTAGTGAGCCTTCCTGTAGCTCTCCATCACGAACCGAGCCTTCCGGTTCGGCGACAGCGTTGCCAGGAGATGGAGTCTCAATATGTGTGCTCAGATCACCAGCGCTACAGCTGGCATCTTCCTCTTTTGGACTGAATAAGTAATGACGATAGCCCATACACTTCAGACGGTGAGTAGACTTACGTCTCGTCCAACTGCCTCTTGTCTACCTCGGAACCGTTAATCGAGGGAGTAACAAGGTTTGGCCCCCCGACTGGTGATTGATGATGATGATAAGCCTTAGCCTGACAGAGGCCAAAGTAGGGATCGAAACCTGACACTGTACCAGGTCTGTTACCCCGCTCACCTCGCTAGACTCCGTGGTACGAACATTTTCGGTCGCAGCCACCTCAGATACGACAGCCTCAGACATGGACGAAAG